TATGTTGCCAGGGATTGAACTGGACCTCCCACATGAAGAGCATCCATTGAGCAATCATTTTTTTCCTACTTTTTGGATCACTCCCAGTGATGCTCCGGGGTTACTTCTGGCTCAACACTCAGGAATTACTCCTGGTGGTGCTGGAGGACCATATGGGATGCCGGGGATTGAACCCCGGGTCAGCCATTCCAAAGCAAATGCCCTACCCACTGTGTTATCACCTCGGCCCTCCTTTGGGCAATCTTGCTGGCCTTTGTTAGGTGTATTTCTACTCATTTATTTCTGATCATTGATCACAATCACGACCATCCTGTTGTTCGTCAATTGCCTTGAGCAGGCCCCAGTAACGTCTCCTTCGTCCTAGCCCTGAGATTTTTTTAAAAGTGCCATATTCAAGGCTCTTTCAGGGTTAGGAGAATGAGACCCATCATTGTTACTGCTATTTGGCATATTAGGTATGCCACGGGGAGTTTGCCAGACTCTGCCATGTGGGCAGGTTACATTCGGTAGCCTGCCAGTTTGTCCAAAGTAGGAATGAGATAATAAGATGGGGATACTCAGCCTGCTTCCCTACAAGGAGCTCCGGTGAGGACAACCAGGCCCGGGGGCAGGAGATTCTGCGCTGTTCTCTTCTGAGAGCTGGGTTTTATAGCCTCTGGGTCTTGGCCGTTGATGGGATTACATGGTGCTAGGGGGCCAGTTGGTGGGTGTGACCCCTGCCTACTGGAATTTGGAGGATCTGGGTGGAGGATGCTCAGCCCCGATCCGAGCAGGCTTGGAGATCTCAGCCCCAGGACCCGCATGCCTTTGTTCCTCTGCTAGTACCTTCATGCATGTGGAGAGTGGTCTCAGCATGGTGGTGGCTGGTTCTGGAGGTCTTCGGCTGCCGGAGCCCTGGTCGGGGTGGGGAGGGAAACTCAACCCGCCCCCCTCCAAGAGGCCCCAGCGAGGACAGCCAGGCGCGGGGGCAGGAGACTCTGCGCTGTTCTCTTCCAGGAGCTGGGTTTTATAGTCTCTGAGTCTTGGTTGTTGATGGGATTACACGGCTCCAGGGTGTAATCATCATGTCTTCTATTTTCAGTAAAACCCATTAGATATAAAGTTTTCCCTGTGCTCTCCATAAGCTATGTCCTCATCTCTGTTTCCCCTCTCCCTGTTTCAGAGGAAGATATTTCCTCTCTCTCATGTTGGGGGTAGGGAATGAGAGTGGGGAGGAAGGAGCTTTCTGTTTAGGGAACACCCAGGACTGGAAAGCGAGGAGCGCTCAGAGAATGTGGAAATTCTGCACCACTTCCTACCTTGCCATTTCCATCTCTTTTGTCTGTCTTTCCTTGAGATGTCACCTTTTGTAATAAAACAGTACTCCAAGATGAGTAGTACTATGTTTTCAAGAACAAAGAAATATTGATTCACCACAATTTCTGTGACAACAAAGTCATTGTAGGCAAGATCACCACAGTCATAACAGGTCCCCAAGGCAGAGCATAGTGCCCTGGAGACTAATGACATTCGACAAAGATTTATTGAACTAGGTGCTTTTTCTTGAGTATCAAAAAAAAAAAAAAAAAAACAACCCTACTCCAAAGTCAACTTCGTTTTATGGAGATCTTGTTTTATTAGCTGTAATGGGAATGTGTTCTTATTGATGGTTGGAAGCAGCTTAATCTTCTTGTGTCCATCCAGGGTTACTGTTTTTGTCTGATAGCTGTTTGTTTGCAGCAGAAGTTAGCAATTTGCATGGACAATGGTGTCGAAGTCACTGTCTCAATGAAACCCAACTGCCTCTTGGAGAAAAGATGACAGATTCAGTCCAGCCACTTGCAAAACATTAAAAATGATTTCTTGTCAAAGACATGAAAAACCACTCTTCCTTTCTATGACATGAGGGGAAAATGAGAAACTATCTTACACCAGATGGCGGTTCCTTGTTAGTAAAATAGGCTTGGGCTGATTCAGCTCCATTCCTTTAAGCTCCTTTTGCAAAACCCACACCAAAAAAAAAAAAAAAAGTACTTTAGGGGCCGCTTTTCAGAGTTGAAATCATATGGATGCCAAAAAAACAAAAAAAGCCACAATGGATTAAGTGCTGGGAATCCTGAGGGCCCAGAAATGAGATTCAGAGACTTTTGATTTTAAGCCATCACTTAGAACCTGACCAGCACTCAAGAATGATCCCAGTTGTTGCCAGGTTTTATTACTTGATTAAATTTGGTTAAAACAAAACCAACTTGGAAAGACAGTTATCTATTCTTATTTACTGAATCTCTCATTTTAAAAATTAAATAAAATAAAGAAGGATTAAAAAAAGAGGTGGAGAAGAAAAGCTTGAACATATCGAAACACATTTGGGATGGTAGAGTGATATTTAAATTTTAGATCACCCTAAATTGAGTGATTTAATCTTTTAAATTCAGTATCTTCTCCACTGTTTACTTGTAAGGTAGCTGCTTTCATAGATTTAGAAGTTGTATGGAGAGAATGAGAGAGAGAGAGAGAGAGAGAGAGAGAGAGAGAGAGTGTTTTCTAAATCCTGGCTTGTTACGTATATGGGGTCATGTAACTGAATGTGGGGGTCATGAAAAATTTGGCAACAGCAAACGATTTCTCAGAGCTCAATGACCAAAAGTTAATTCAAATCAACCATGTAATGAATTCAAGGTGTTTCTGGCAGGGCTCGCCCATGTTGCATTTCTCAAGTGAAAGTTTCAGAAACCCTGTTCTGAAGAACCTTTTAAAAATGATTGTCTAGGGGGCTGGAGTGATAGCACAGCAGGTAGGGTGTTTGCCTTGCACGCGGCCAACCCAGGTTCAATTCCCAGCATTCCAGATTGTCCCCCCCTCCTCCCCGAGCACCGCCAGGAGTAATTACTGAGTGCATGAGCCAGGAGTAACCCCTGTGCATTGCTGGGTGTGACCCAAAAAGAATAAATATATATATTGTCCGGTTTTGTTGGTTCTTGGTTGGTTGATTGGTTGGTTGGTTGGTTGGTTGGTTGGTTGGTTATTTGGCTTGGGGGCCACACCCAGTGGTGCTCAGGGCTTACTCCTAGCAGTGCTTGGGGGACTATATAGGTTTCCAGGGATTGAGCCCAGGTCGGCCACGAGCAAGGACTCCATGCTGTACTGTCACTCTGGCCTTGTCTGGCTTTGTTTTTAATTTTTATTGGGCCCCCAGTCCCTTGCCTTCCTTTTTTCCTTGTTGTTTGAAGTACTTACCGAGAGTACTGTGGTGCTCACAGCTCACACATCCTACCTTGGTGCTTACTCATTTTTCCATTATGGTACTTGTTAGGAGTTGCGCCCTTTCCTCCCACACTCCTGGCTGAACGGTGGCCAGAAATCAAAACTACTTTGCAGCTTTACTTTGGGAATATAAACAACAGACCTGCCAGGCTAGAATCGCAGCACTGCCAGGACTGCACCTGGCGTGTGCAGCAGCATAGGACACTGGGCTCTCGGCAGTGCGGAGCTCTAAAGCACCAAACCGGCCACACATCACATAACCCGAACTGTTGCACATGCGGCCATGGACGCATACAATCTGTGGCTCACACTGATGTCGGTGGGCCCCACGGGTGACTTATGTGAAGTGGGGAGGAGAAAGACAGCCACTTTCTCCTCACCCGCCTCTGCCACCCGGAACCCTGGGTAGGCTAGGACCGGTAAAGTCTGCAGTGAGCACCTGCTCGGCACGGGCCTGAGCCCCGCCAGCCCCACGAGGTGGCCGTCAAGCCACACCTGAAGTCCGCTTGATCTTCTCGGCATGGGAGTTAATCCCCGCCACCCGATTGCTCGGGGAGCCACGGACTCAAGCTGGGGCGAGAATTTGCTCTTTGCAGGAAAGGAGAGACCAGTCCCAAGCCTTACCCGAGGTTTCTGGGGTTCTTGTCTCGCTCGCAGAAAAGAATTTCAGGAGTAGACGAGCAGTGAAGTAACAGGTTTTATTTGGAGGCTTTTGGAGAGGGAGAGAAAGGGATAAGCAGAGAGAGAGAGAGAGAGAGAGAGAGAGAGAGAGAGTAACACGTCCAGAGGGAACGCGGGCTTCTCCGAGGGTGGAGAGAGCGCCAAGTGGGCTCTCGAGCTGGTTCTTATAGATCCTTCTGACTCAGAATGTTCTGGAATCTCCTTGGGGCTGAGTCGCTGGAGTCAACCGGATTGAAAGGGGGTTCGAGAATCATCTGACTTGGAATGTCCTGGAATCTCCTTGGGGCTGGGTCACTGGAGTCAACCGGATTGAAAAGGGGTTCGAGAATCATCTGACTTGGAATGTCCTGGAATCACCTTGGGGCTGGGTCGCTGGAGTCAACCGGATTGAAAGGGGGGTTCTCAGAAAGGAGGAATTTCATGGGGAGGAGGCCCATATCTTCAGGGTCTGGGGATGGTCTTATCAAGTCCTTATTCTCTGTCTCCACAGGGTGGGTCGGTCCTAGAATTCTTCTTCTATGAGACTTTGTTTCATTGCAGAGAGCCTTTCCCTATCTACCTGCCTACATCAACACTAACTCAAGTTGCAGCACCGGTGTCAGTGCGTTGAAGATGAAATATACGTCACAGGATATAACAGGAAACCCTCTGTGTGGGCACAAGACACTTGTTAGGGAAGTTTCAAAGAGGATTTCCACACTAATAACATACTGGGTTTTTTGTGGGAAGCAACTGTGGTCCAGGCTTACTCCCAGCTCCGTGCTCAGGGATCACTCCTAGCAATACTCAGAGGACCAAGTGTGGAACTGGAAATAGAACTGGGTTTGTCCGTGTGCAAGGCAAATGCCTTAGTACAGCATGGACTCTCTCGTCAGCCCTCATTTTATAGTTGGGTTATTTTTAAGACTTTGTCACCTAAAATTTGCTACATTATGAATTAGCCTCCTTCACTTGTTCCTTCTTAAGTTGCCTTGATTTAGGGGAACGCAGTCATTCAAGGTAACATCTACTGTCTATGTGCCAAAAAAGAAAAAAAAAAAAGACCACTTCTTCTAATGTTCTGTTTTATGTTTTAGGTGTCTGAACATGCACAGTTAAGTTGGATCCTGACCTGCATGGTCAGACTCCCTCGGCTGCAGCATTTACACCAGTGGAAGGTAAACACCAAAGATGTGATTGATAACTGTAAAAAACTACACACGCTGAAGGTTGTGTGTTCGCGGGCTCTCTGGACGGCTGATGGCCAAGGGCAGACGAAGGAAGAGACGAGGGCCAGGCCGGTTGATCTTAGTGGCAGTTTATTACAAGGAAGTTTATCCCATAGAAGAACCTTATGTTATGAAGGGCCTAGGTTCTCTCAAGCACAGGTTCCCCTTGCTAGTCTCTCGGTAGTCCATCTTTCAGCCCTGCTCTCTCCTTCCCCAGCTCCCCTCTTGTCTGGGCTGACACTCCACCCAGTCAGGTCGCCAAATCAACATAAGAAAGCCCTTCCTGACTGCCCAAGGGCAAAATGCCTCTTAAGGTGTTTTTCTCTTTTCCTCAGTCCAATAAACTATCAACTATTCCTGAGGTTATGCAGGAAGGACAGAACAGTGTTATCTTACATCTCCCCCTTTTGCTTTTTACAAAAAACACAAAATTTGAAACAGGAAAAATTACTAGCAAATTTTTGTATGTACACAGTAAGAGATGACATTGAGACTTGTAGAGCAGCTCTCCTGGGAACATCTTGCCATAGACTCAGAGTACAGTGCTCAGGCCAGATTAATCATTCCTAGCCCTAGCGGGGTCCAAATCTAGTTATTACTTTCTGGATCATGACAGCATTTGTCCATGACCAAGCTCTTAACTTATAGTTAAGCATTGTGGCACTTTGGCCAGGCCCATCTCGATGCCAGGGTAGCACATAGCTTACAGCTTGCCCTGGGTCCATCCAGTCCCTCGTCGGGACCCTGCCTTTAGGGGTGCTAGGAAGTGAGGGCAACTGAGGCTTAAGTTGAGAAAGCAGATGCCCAGGAATGAAATATCAGAGAGTCACATTACAAAAGCATGTCTTCTTGTGTCCATACAAAAAGAACATTGCTCTGAATAAACTATGCAAGGACTTAAGGAGAAGAGAACAATATTTACAAGTCAGCAAAGCACAAAGAAAGAAGTTACCAATAAACACAAGAGGAATGGGAGCACTGTGATGAGAGCAACCCAATAAACCTGAACCCTACAGATAACCAGAACAGTTCAGAGTTCCATTACAGCTGTTTTTACCCCAGTCTATTAGCACAGCGGGTAGGGCATTTGCCTTGCACACTGCCGACACAGGTTCGATTCATCTGCCTCTCTTGGAGAGCCCGGCAAGCTACCGAGAGTATCCCGCCCGCACGGCAGAGCCTGGCAAGCTCCCCGTGGCATATTTGATATGCCAAAAACAGTAACAACAAGTCTCACAATAGAGACATTACTGGTGCCCGCTCAAGCAAATCGTTGAACAACGGGAGGACAGTGCAGTGCTACAAGAGCTATTTATTGTTATATTAGGCTCTGAAAATCCTAAATTTACTGAGTCTCTCTGGTCTGCCGTTCAGAGTGGTTGGTACTGCCTCTTTAATCTTTCTGCCTCAGGCTATTAAATGAAAATAAAAGGGCTTTTCAAGATACCTTCAAACTAAAATAGTTGTTAAGTTTATTTTTTAAGTTTTTAATCACAATATCAAATGTGTGAGTTATTTGATCTCATCTATGCATGATTTGGTCTGAGTACCTTTGCATGGACTTGATAATCTCTTGGTGGCTACCACATTTGATGAGCAAATCACCTTAATTTCTGGGTCAGTGGTGCTCCTGTTGCCTGGTCCCCACAGCAGTGACCGGCAGGAAGGCGAGATTGTTTCACTGTGGAGAGAAGAGATGTGTCATTCACTTAGTGTTTAAACAAGTGGAGTCCAGGCAACAATTCAAACCCACAAAGGAAAAAAAAAAATGTAAGGCTACTGTATTCTAAGAAGTTTAACTGAGAAAGAGAAATTGGATAATTCAGAGTTCCTTATTTGCTTTTATTTTCGCTATTGGATAACCTAAGGGTAGGTAGCCCTGGACCACGTCAACACTAGTTTCAGTTTCAGGCTTTTTTCCAGCGTATTTTCAGTGCCATTGGTTTCCTCAAAAGCTAGTGGAAAGCCTTTGCTTATGGAGCTGGAGGAAAGGGCCTCAGAGTGTCAGTTCTGAGACACAAACTGAGCTGCCCAGGACTGCAGAATGGTTACCTTCAGGAACTGGGAACAAAATTCTGCTATGTACTTTACCACATTTGCCTTTCAGCAAGCCATTTCTGTTTCATCATGCTATTCTAAGTTATGAATGCTGACATTCTTTTTTTTTTTTATAAACACTGCATGCTAATTTAATAGAAAATGTTCCAATTTTAAATTGTGTCTCAGAACCTGATCAAACATTACAAGTTATTGCAGTCATAGTCTGGAAAGCCTCCCCCCCTGCACCCACCACCCACCTCCCCCTGCAGTTCATAGCTTCTCTGTGGCTGAAGGTCCGGCTATCAGCAAGATGAACAGATGTAGCCCCTTCTTAAGACCTGCCATCTTGGCGGCAACAATTGATTAAGTAATCAGTGGAAGTATGAAGTAGTCAGAGCTTCCAGAACCAGGGGCAGGACTCAGAGCACCTGAACTGGTTTCAAATGGGCTTTGAGAGGTGGAAATACGGAGTGGTAAGGTAGCTGAGGTGAGTGTTATTTGGAAAGATAATGAAATAACACTGAGGTAAGGTGTCTTTTACCTTTACCTTTACCTTTAAGGTGTCTGAAGCAGATAACAGATTCTGAATAAGTATCCATGTTTTTCTATGTCTCCCTTTTTCCTTCGTAATTTCAAGATGCAGCGTTCTTGTATTAAAAAGACTTTAATACGCGAAGAATTTTAAAATTGGGCTCCTTTTCACTTTGTCCGTTTTTATCTTTTTTTTAGCTGATCACCATCATCTTTACCCAGTGATCACTGTAAACTGGACTTTGTTATGGGTAGTGTAATAAGTCATATTAAAGAAATTTTAAATTCTGGGCCAGAGAGAGAGTACAGGAGGAAGGGCATTTGCCTTGCATCGAGTCAGGAGTAATCCCTGAGTATAGTGGGGAGTCGCCCAAACTTTTAAAAAACAATAGGATTTTAATAAATATGAAACACCGAGTCCAGGTGGTTAAAGGAAGAGACTCAGACTCAGCTTCCTAGAGTATGTTTCCATGGGGGTGAGGTGAGCTCAATTGTGAGCACATGAGCATAGAACCTGAATCATGTCAGTTTATAACTTCAGTTTTCTAGTTTGTCCCGAGATAATAGTACTCCAGGGAAGTGATGCCTGTTAACTTACCAAAGAAGATTTATCTGCATACCAGAATATCCATTTATTATCTTGCAAGAAATTATGTAACCAACTCAACGTGAGCAAAGTTACTAATGATCTGTGTGTCACATTCCCTTCCAACAATCAGTTTTCCTCAGAGATCTGTCAGCAGCAAGGAAATTAGTCATTCTGGGCTTATATTTATTGATGGGCACTTATATTTTGTAGCCTGCATCCAGCTGTTCATCAGTTTTCAGTTAAATATTACCTAATATTAGGCCTGAAACAACCTAAGTGGTTCTGTCAGTGTCTCGATAAGGAAATATTTGTGGTTTTTTTTTTTTTTCGCTTGATTTTTGCTTGTTTGTGGTTCTGGAAATGAACCTAGTTTCTCATGAATGCAAGACTCACACTTTATCAGGGAGGTACATCACCAGCGCTTAAGGAAATATTTCATCTGTATAACCTGTCATGCTCATTGAGTCATTTTGTTTTCTCTTAGGTGCTTCAGTACCTAAAGACCAAGACAAATTTTGAACTGATTCCACTTTAAAATTCAGCTTTTAAATGGCATTATTTTTATCTTTTTCACTTCTTTAAACATGATGTTAAGGGAAATCAGTTTGTCAGTAGCACCGTAGAAGATACTTTCTGTGAGGTTTCCACAGATAAACAGTAAGAGCATTTGATACTGACTCATGTTCACTTATAAAAATTTCATCTCACTCTACTTTCTATACTTACCTGCAAAATCTGGAATCTATCTGATATGGAACCTACAAAACTCTTTTGTGCCTAATTTAATAATATGAATAAGATAGAGTGCTTGTGCAAGATCCTTTAAAGGGGCAGTAATGAAATGTATTTTTTTCCCTGAGCCTGGAGCATGAAGACAAACCAGCCAGAAGATGGCTAGAATTGCTAACAGAAACTGAGACATGCTGTTATTACAGGTGGCTTCAGACCAACCTTTGCTTGCTTTTAAAGATTTCTTAATTTAGCAGTATAATTAGGTTCACGCCGGATTTCTTTGCTCTCTGCTCTGCTCTCCCACAGGCAAAGACTGCCACGCAGAAACAGGAGGGAACCATGGGCCTGCTCACCTATCCAGTTCTCCAGGCAGCTGACATTTTGTTGTACAAGTAAGAAGCAGAGTTTACAACCCCCCCCTCCCGGTCTTACACATACTCATGCTCTCATGCTGACCAGAGGGAGTCTTAATCTTCCCCCCACACCCCCAAATTAAAGGTGATTGTTTTGCACATGACTGACCTCACTCTGATCCTTGGCTCCTGGCATCGCATACAGTCCCCCAGACACCACCAGGAATGATCCCTGAGCTCAGAGAGAGCCAAGAATAATCCCTGAGAGCTACAGCTTGTGACCCCAAAACCCCCACCCCACCTGCCCCCCTGGAAAAAAAATGAAGATTTGGTTCAAGGGAAAGGAGGTTTCTGAAAGGATCAAGCATGAATCGGTTTACATCCACTCTGCAATAGTGTTACTAAATCATAGAAGCATGTCTCAATGTGAAACTACTAAGATTAAGATATAAAACTTGGAACCGGAGTGATAGTACCGCGGCACTTAGGGCATTTGCTTTGTACGCAGCTGACCCGGGTTCAATCCCTGGCATCCTATATGGTCCTCCAAGTACCACAAAGAGTAATTCCTGAGTGGAGATCAGAGGAGTATCCCCTGAGCATTGCTGGGTGTGACCCAAAAAGAAGAAAAAAAAAAAACCTTAGGTAGCTTTTTTTATGTGTTAGAATCAGTTAGTGTTTTACCTACAGTGACCCAATTAACTCTCAGAACAACATTTGTGTTATTATCACCCTCATTTTACAGATGCACAGAGTGGCCAATGTCTGTCAATGATCACAAAGCTAGCAAGTAGGCAAGTCATGAACCCTGCCTGGATTCGAGTCTAGAAAGTTTGGGTCTAGATTTCAGTGCTTTTGACCACAAGCAAGTTTGGACTTCTCCAGTGATGATTGAACTTTATTTATTTTATTTGGTTTTGGGGCCTCACCCGGTGGTGCTCAAGGCTTACTCCTGACTCTGTGCTCAGGGATCACTCCTGGTGGGCTCTGGGGACCAGTAACGGGTACCAGGGATCAAACCTGGGTTGGCCGCATGCAAGACAAATGCCCTGCCTGTTGTACTGTGACTCCAACCCCAGTAATAATTAAACTTAATGAGCTCTAACTGTTCATTTCTTCCCTATCAAGGCTCAAAGGAGTGCTATTCAATAGATCTTACCAAGACTGTGGAAATATTCTATACCAGCACTTTCTAAGATCATCAGCCACTAGCCATATGTGGCTATGAGCACTTGAAGTGTTGACAGAGAAACCAAAATGGAAATTTAAATAGATATCTGTGTCTAGCGGCTAGAGTGTTGGTCCTGGGGATTGAAGTTCAGCTTTTCAACATAATCTAGTGTTTCTGACTTTTCCTGGACCCATCTAGCTAATTCCAGCTGTTACTTACCATCTCAAAAATATAAAGCCACAGGCAGTCTACAGACAATTCCTGAAGTCTGTGCTGATGGCCTGGACTTTTGACTCCATCTCTATTCCAGTTCTTCTCTGCTACCCCCAAGTCACTGCCCTGCCTTCCTCCTCCTCCCCCAATTTGGCATCCTAGTTCTGCATGAACTCGTAGTCAAATCTTGGTACTTCAAAAAGCACCTAATGAAGAACACCTTTGCCCCCTCTGCCTTTTAATGCCTAGACCCCATAAAAGTGGTTCTTTCTGGTCCAGAGAGAGAATACACAGGTAGTGTGTTTGCCTTGCATGCATCTGACCCAAGTTGGATGCCTGGCATCACATATGGTTTCCCTGAGCACAGAGACAGGAATAAACCCTGAGCATGGTTGGACATGACCCCAAAACAAACAAACGGAAAAAAGTAATTCTTCCCTTGTAAAACTAGATTTGCATATAAGTCTGATGATGATATAGAGGTGATAACATGTGGACCTTTTGTCATGATTCCAGAGTCCCCAGAGTCCATGTGAAATTATGATGGAGACAAAATTTGAAAATAGCTGCTTAGATTTACAAATAATATTCACTAGCAAATGCAGCCTCCCTTCTTTCTGTTTAATACATATATAATGTGTGTGCATATATATATATATGTGTGTGTATATATATATATCCAAAGAGATAATACAGCAGGCATTATAATATATATATATTTGCTCGAGCGGGCCCAGTAACGTCTCCATTGGAGACTTTGTTGTTACTGTGTCTGGCATATCGAATACTCTCGGTAGCTTGCCGGGCTCTCCGAGAGGGGCGGAGGAATCGAACTCGGGTCGGCCATGTTGGCCGCTTGTAAGGCGAACGCCCTACCCGCTGTGCTATCGCTCCAGCCCATATATATATATCTTTCTATATAATTACATATTACATATATTTATATATAATGGATAATGTGCCTATGAATGACTTGACCTATCTGGGGAAGTCCAGACCACTTTTCTCCAGGATATAGCAAATAAAAATCTAGCAAATTCCTAATACCTAGTGATTTCTAGCAACATAACATTTATTTAGAAAGGTTTTTTAATGGACATTGATTTTTATTCATATAAAAGGGAAATATGGGGCCCAAGAGATAGTAGAGAGGATGGTGTGCATGCCTTGTACCCAGCCGACCTGGGTTTGATCCCCAGCATCCCATCAGGTCCCCCAACCACTGCCAGGAGTAATTCCTAAGAGCAGAACCAGGAGAGACCCCTGAGCATTGCTGGGTATGGGTCCCAAACCCGAAAATGAATAAGTAGAGGAGCGATAATAATTACCATGGACAGAATCCTTTAAAGCCTAAAATGAAGCATGGGCCAGGAGTTGTCACTTGGTTTTGATAGACAGACACAATTTGTTTGTTTGTTTCAGGCCTAATTCTTGATTTTTACTTATTTTTGTCATGGCTGGTATAACTCAGAACCTCACACATGAAAGTCACGTGCTCTCCTGCCGAGCCACAGGGATATGGAAAAGCACATGAGTTTCAGATTATCATAGTTGATGAGCGCTGATGCACGAGTACCCTGAGCTCAGGACAGATGATGAAAAATGACTGAACATGAACAAAAATACTTGTCTGGCTTTAAAAGTTTATACCGGTATGCACACCCAATTCAAAATTTTCCTAAGCAGCTCTTCTAATGTTGTGCCTTAGAGTGTGGCTTGGGAAGCATCCGAGCGGATCGTGGTCTCCTGAGTCCGTCGATGCTCCTCTTCCTTGCGGAACCTCTAGTTCTATTCAAGACCACGGTGACATCAGATGGATCCACTAACTGGGACAGTACGAGATCAGATACACCAAAGTGATGGTGACTCTGTTTTTATCTGCTGCCAGGAACGCAGTTGGCAGAATGATAAAATCCTACAATTTCTTTCGCCCATGAAGTGGATCAGGAGATAATTAAACAAATTACACATAAATTGATACTACCAAATATGTATTCACAAGATCATTGGGAGGAGTATGCTTCCCAGGCAGTCCTCAAGGGGCCTGGGGTCACTCCTGGTGATACTTAGCCACTGAGTCCGTGTTAAGGCCCAAGGGCACCAGTCTGGTACCTGGTGGTTCTTGGACCATTCAGTGTAGGGATCCAACCTGGGCTCCACATGCCAAGCATGTGCCCCAGCCCTTTCAGCTGTCATCCTGGTACCTAAACAGCACATTTAAGAGAACAAGAATATGATAGATGTGGTGTTGGAATTATGTCCGTGAGAAACCATTATTAATAGTATTGTAAACTGAAAAAATGAATTAAAAATTTTTAATTAATAAAATTAAACCAAATTTCATAGAATTCAATTGATGTAGAAATTCAGTGAAGAAAAATTAAGACTAAGGTATTAGAAAATACTATTTTTCTTGGCTAATCTTAATTCTGCTTCCAAATATGCTTTTTATAATAACAAATTATAAAACAAAAACAAAACAGAAAAACAAAGAGTGCCAACAAGTGCAACAAAATCAGCTTTAGTTCACTGCAGCATTAATTTTGCTAATATGCTTTTTTCTTATGTCTCGTTATGCATCATCCAAAGTTTTAAAACTCTTCATTGTTAGGGCCAGAGAGATAGCTCAATGGACTGAGCACATGCTTTGCATTCAGGAGGCTGGATATGATCCCCAGCACCATGTGGTACCCCCAGCACCACTAGGAGTAACTCCTGAGCACAGAGCCAGGTGTAACATCTGAGCACTGTGAGTGTGACACAAAAACAAAAATTAAATTCCTAGTGGCTTGATGTTAAGTAGAAAAGGACTCAAACTCAGGTCTATTTCTTTGTTTTTTCTCTCTTTTTTAAGCCTATATTTGTTTTCCCAACAGTAAAGCCAGCCACTGGAGACACTGTGTGTGTGTGTGTGTGTGTGTGTGTGTGTGTGTGTGTGTGTGTGTTTCTTCTTGGCTTTGTTCCTTTATTTCTGGATTTTGAAAATGGTCATAGCCAAAATGTCTGTGAACATTTTTGTTCTAAATATAAGTAAATTAGGTAAGTAGATTGAAGAATGGATAAAACACTTTTTTTTCCTAAAAAACATCTTTGGCCTCTTTATAAAATTTTCATGTAAGTCAAGTGCAGACTTAGAGTTTGTTTCTGTCAGAGAAGATTAGAGTGATACATCATGAGCTGGAGAACAAGTAGGAGGAAGGTAGTAGAAATGGTACTATATAAACTACACTTCCAGATAGAAGTATCATAGGCATATGAAACATTTTTGGCACATCGTGGTATTAAAAAACAGGACTAGCAAGCTGAAACCATCTTAGTTTGAGTAATTTCAAGTATATACTAAGTAAATATTTTATCTTCTGCAAAGATATGAAGGAAGGTAGGTAGGTAGATAAGCAGACAGACATAGAGTCTCCCAAACTGCGCCCCATAGTATTTCTAGATGAAACATTAAGATGAAATGTTAAGATGAATATTAAGGATGCTCTCACTTCCTATGTATAATAGACTGGTCTGACCCAATCTTGGCTTCACCAAATTCACACAAACGTACACACACACACACACAACACAGACACACACACTCTTTTTATTTATTTTATTTGGGGTGGGGGGCTGGCCCACCCAGCTGTGCTCAGGGAAAGGATTACGCCTG